GAAGATTTTCAGCTACTACTACTACTACTACTGTAACAGAGATTGCCAGGACTATTGTCACACCGAGCCCACGTGGAGCCCTTTTGGCATTCCCGACTAGGTGGTATGCGGCTTGCTCTCTCCTTCTACGCGGGGTAATGCCTCCAAGACTGCATCCATTTCATTGACAATGTCCCAGCAGTCACTTGTTGCCTGTCGCAGTAGGGAGTGCTGCCCAGCCCTCATGGCTTGCTCCATGATATCGTGAATAGTGAGGACCGTCGAGCGAACCTCAGTAGCCGTCTCATGGACTTCACGGCACAGTCTCGCATGTGGTGCATTGTGGCCCATAGTCACTTCCTGGTCTGTGAGCGCTTGCATGGCGTACGCCCCAATGTTATTGGTGTGCATCATTCCTGACGGCCTCACGGCTGTCCTCTGGCATTGCTGGGGTGCTTGTGCTGACTGTGGAGTAATCCATGGTGGGACAGCAGGCGATGCAGCCTGACTGGGTACCGCCAACGCTGGTAGTAGTTGCAGCTGCATGAAGGGAAAGGCAGGGCGCTCTCCGCCTGGTTCAGGAGGTCTGGCCTGTCCAGCAGGCAGGGCGTGTCCCAGTGTTGGTACACTTTCCGACTGACTGAGAATGTGATGCACCATGGCTCTTCGAAAGCAGCGCTGTATCCCACAAAAATGTAGAAACATGTGGAAAAATGTCAAAAAGTAGAAACACGATAATGTAGAAGCAATGTAGAATAATGTAGGTGATGGAGCCCACACAGGCCTACAGTGACTCCAAGTATCATCCAGTTAGCGGCTCAAAGAGCCGCCGTCAAGTTTGGATGAAGATACATGTAAATACCTATACGTATCATCAAACTGGCTGGCAGCTCAAAGAGCCACCGCCGATACAGATTACAGTAACATCTGTACGTATCATCAAACTGGCTGGCCCGCCATCGGTATAGACAACGCCATCGGTATAGACAACGTTCGGCGTACTGTCTTTTTTAAAACAACTCTTTTCTTGGAACTTTTGGTCACAGCTCTTGTTGTCAAGAGAACCATTGGTTTGCAAAAACATCTGGAAACATAAATTTTCACCAACATATTGTTTAAAGCAAAAAAGGTAACTCCCCTAAGTTATTTATAAGTTCTCTAAGCTCAATTTTTCAAGACTCTTTAAAGAGTACTTACAATACAAAAATTATTAAGCGTCATAAAGACTTACAAGTTTTATAAATACCTTCAGCTAGCTCTAAAAAACTTAGCTATGTTACTATTGCTCGAAATTCTTCTGAGCAGGTTATACGCCGGTTATAACATATGTTATAATTTTATTCAGCTCCCTTAACCACAAGCCAACCACCAAGTATGTAGTGTGTGGGACACCATGTCTCCAAAAGTCCGTGCAGCTGTGCCACGCGGTTGTGTGCGGCGTCCGTTAAAAGTGTGTTTGCGCGTGTCTGTTCTACTGGGGAGAGGAACGCGTGCTGGCGTAAATGCAGCGTGTCGCTGGGGAGCGGAGCCGGAGGAGTGGAAGTGTAAACGAGGCTGGGTGTGCCATGGTAGTAGGTAGTGTGTGGCAAACCGTGTCGCCAAAGTCCGTTGATGTCGTTGTGCCATGGTTTTGCGCCGCATCGGTGAAGAGTGTGTTCGCGCGAGGCCGTGCCATTGGGGAGAGGAAAGCACGCTGGCGTAAATGTGGCGTGTCCCCAGGGAGCCGGTGGAGTGGCGGTGTGTACGACGCTGGGTGTATCTCACAAGAGAGAGTGTCCCACAATAGTGCCCGACAAGAGTGTCCCACAAGAGTGTCCGCAAAATTGTTTTACAAGGGCGCTGCTGCCGCATAGCGTGTGCGCGCGGGAAAAAATATCCGATCGGGTTTCTTTGGTGTCATATCTGAAAGCAATCCGCTCCTTTCAGTTACATCTTCCATTCTTGTTCGTGGCTTCTATCAGGTTTTTTGTTCCTCTTACTGCATAGTTGCTTGTGTTTTCTATCTTTTGTTTGCACCTTTTAAATTTTAAATTCTTGAATAATTTCCAATTTCCAAAGCTGAAATTTGTTACAATGTATAGGCAAAAATGTCAAATTGAAGTGCTTCAATAAAACAATTCAATTATTGTTGCGTTATGCAAGTTAAAATGTTATGGAACTGTGGGTCATGTAGCATTCAAATTATGTTCCAAAATCAGGGGCAGCCGGTGATGATGATGATGATGATGATGATGATGGACAGTTGAAGTTGGCCTTTCAGGTGCTTTCGAGAACAAACCTTACCTGTCTAAACCTGGACTGGAAGACATCTTTGGGGCAGGACCTGAATCCAAACATTTTTGGCAAAATTGCATACTTGCATGAACATCGATTGGAACATATTTTTGCTTCCCTCCTCCTGTGAACATGGTTTGCTTCTCATCCTTCTCTCACCCCTCTTTCACTTATTCTCTCGCCGTCTCACCACTCTTTTACTTTGCAACTTCATCGTAATGCAGGCGTAGCTTACGCCAGAGTAACTCTACACGTACCTAGGCCACTCGATTCGACTATAACATGTACAATGTCGCTTTTCGCAAGCAACCTAGGAGTTGAGTCAGAACATACAACTCATCATCGTCAACATCAAGCTCACAGGAGAGTGGACTGTTCACATCAGGATTGAAGACAGACAGACCGAACTCAAAAATATATCGAACGATTTGTGAAGATACGCTGCCACTCGGCTGGAGACCACCCATGAACATTGGATCTTGGGCAGAACTTGGTGAAATTTCAGGTTTCAGCTTCAGTTTCTGACCTAACCAAAATGAAGGTTTCATTTCAGGCAAAGAGACTGGAAAAAATGGGGGTCAGTTCTCGGGGTCTTTGCGGGTTTGGATGCACGCGTGTGTGCACTTTATATTCGATTCATGTGTGTTGGCACGAATTCTATTCAGCGGTTTTTGCATGCAACAGTGACAGTGACTTTGAATTAAACAGGATTTGGGATGCATTTAGGAAAACTGTTCAATTAAATCGATTCAAACTTGAAGTAGCGTAAGTTCAGATGCACCAGTGTTTGTTTTTTGGCCAGTGGGCCAATAGCTATGACCGCTGTGACATGTTGGATGTTTAAGATTGGCAAGAAAGTCACTTGATATGAGGATGACATGAATGCAATTTGCATGGTGGGGAAACAATTGTGGCAGCTGCTTTCAATCAATATTCTCATGCAAAAATCGGGTGAACATGTTCTATTGTGGGTTGTTGAACGTTGGTCCAGATCAAACATGAAACAGAGAAGGCCTGCGCAAGCAAAAACACATTGCGGCGACTTTTCCAGCTCGACAGTGACCAGTTTAAACTTGTTTGTCATGATTGCATTGGAAACAATTTGCTTCGACGGGTTTTGCCATGAGCTTTGGAGTCTATCGACCCCAAATGGGGGTGGCCAGCGGCATGCGCGTGTTGTGCAGTGACCAATCACTGCAGGCCGAGTGGTAGGTAGTGATTGGACGTCTTATGCATGTTCCAAGCTTGATCCTTTGTTGCTGACACGAACATGGGGTTGGCTGCAATTTCGCGTGACGATGTGTTTGCGTGTTTCATGTATTCCTCGATTGTTCTGCCGGTGCATGTGACACAGTTGGCAAACATACTATCCAAGCAGGCTTGCCTTGTTGCAACGTTTCCAAGTATTGGTTTTGGTCTGTTGTGACTCATGTCAATGTATATATATATATAACTCCCATTTTATGTGTTTGACCGGTGATGATATTGCAAGGAACAACGCCGTGCTGCGGAGCAGATGGGTCGTCAGCAGGCCACGCGTTGGCAGTCGCGGATGTGTGCCAAGAAGAGTGTTTCAAAGTCCGATGAAACTTTCCGAGGTGTACAATGTACAATGCAAGATCCATGGAGTTCTACCATCGTATGTCAATCTTAGTTTTCGTCCGTGGCATCATTCATAATTGTGAACCTGAATGAGGAAGTAACACATTTGCGTTATTTGTACGTAGATACTGTAGGTTTCCCCATTTATGATCGGGCTGGAAGGTCTCTCAATTAATGAGTTTAAAACTGAGTTTAAACACGTATAGGAACCAAACCTTTCTTTAAGTACATTCTTTTCCACTTTCATTTGATCGCAGACATCCCGTTTGTAGGATTCAATGATTATTCCACAGACATGGGGCGGTCAAACTAAAAACAGTCTTTGGAAAGGATCACATCATCGGTACAATTTGGATGAGCATTCGCACTTTCATGTCGAAAGGTGACGCTCAACCCCATCACTGGGGAGGTGTTGCATGGTGAGAAACTTGACAAAGTGCCAAGAGGGCGTCCACCCTCAGGAGCTGTGGAGTGACTGAACACAGAGTGGAAGCACCTGACCTCTTGGGACAGTTTTGTACTGACATGTTTAGCTGTTTACTGACCAAGAGAATCAACGCAGCTTCTCGCTACAAAAATTTCATTGTTGATCTGGGGATGTATTGGATGGCTTTTTTGGAATCTATCCAGCCCAGCAGCTCCAAGGAATGGACTCTCATTTTGTTGAAGTTTTCTTCAAAGGAGTTGCCAGCCTGACCGCTGGGCTCTCATCAAACAGACTGAGAGCAGAAAGCATGGTTTTGCCGCCCTATTTGGCTCAAGTGGTAGGGAGGCATCAAGCCAGTTGCCTCCGTGCAGACAGGTCAAAGGACACAGGGCAAAGTGAACAAGTTGAATGTGATAATGGAATGACTTGCTGATCACACGATCATGTGTCGTTTCAATTTGACTTGTTGCGTGCGTCATCTAAGCACATTGGCGATTGGCGGCAGAACGGTGGGAAAATAGAGGGACGGAAGGAGACACTTCTGGATCTGTCGGAACTCAATCGTCTAACTCTTGATCATGTGGAGGCCATCGCTATTAGGTTGGAGTCCATCGCTAGTAGGGTGGAGACCATCGCTACTAGGGTGGAGGCCATTGCTATTTTGTGTCAAGTTGTGTCCTTTGTCACCAGGAGCCCTGTCTCGGGAGTGCCCTGTTCGATGAATCGATACAAGGCGCGGCTGAAATCCGCGTCGGTCCCGTAGGTCTCTTGCTGGAGCAGTGATACTGCCCAGAGAGATGAGAAGAAACTTGCACCTGAGTGTCACCTTTGAGCACCTGAGGTATTCAAAACACTTGGAGATGGGTGCCGCCCTTGGATATAACGCTGTGCTTTATCAAGCCACCTTGTATTTATGTCATCCCGCACCGCAAGGTTTGAATGTATGTTTGTTTTGTATTGCTGCGTTTAATTGGGTGTGCGCTTTCTATCCCTTGTCTATTCCTTACTCATTTTCGCATTGGCTCATCATTTCCATCCATTTGCATTTGCTTGTTCCACAACGAGTCAGCTTCAAAGGCTCGACAGATTCCAGATGAAGTTTTCTTGGGCGCGAATTGATCTAAATTTGCTCAGCGTAGGTTCAACAATGCTCCAAAACGCACCCTCAAGAACATTCTTAATCTGACATATTACTTCACACACTCTCGTGATGCTTCCGATGTCTCCAATCTAACTTGCATGATTTGCATTTCCAATTCTCACTCATCATACCATGTACCTCTCCACCCCAAATTCGAAACAGGAAAGAGTTGCCGAGTTGCTCTTCTTGTAGCTCTCCCCCAACCTGTGAGTCCTTTCACTGCCACATTCCAGAAACAGTTTTCAGACGAAATGCTGTTCGGTCTTGATCAGCCTTCAAACCTTTCCCAAGTTCACCTCATGGGGACGTGCCCGTGCGAATTTCCTCTCCCGTTTGTTCTGAGGACCTACGGCTCCGTGCTCAAGGCACAGAACAAGCAGACCAATGAATTGGTGAGCCCTGAGCAGGATTGGGAGGGAGAGCTGGTGTGGATGTTCGACAGTGCAATTGTTTGGACTTGCATCTGGAAGGAGATTGCAACGAGTCCCATTGTCGTCCAATGTTGCATCGAAAGGACTTGATGAGGGTGGGGGTTCGCAAGCCGCCAGGTATCCTTCCCTTTCCAGTCACCATGACCGGATTAGCCGGAACGAACTCAGGTTGCTATCAAGAAGATGAAACAGAAATATTACAGCTTGGGGAGCTCTGCTGGTGTCGGGGATGGTTGGGCAGAAGAAGGGACTGCAGGTGTTTGTGGTTGCACTTGCCCAGTTGAGAACTCACGGATGATTTCCATACAAGTATTAAGGTGTTGATGGAAGAGTAGCTCAGACGTAAACACAGCCAAGGAAGAGAGGCATATTTGACAGGGTAGTTGACCTACTGTGTGTCGACTTGCATCTCACTGACCTTGTTGGAAGACTTGTGAAGCACCCAAACAATTGATATCAAATGATAACTTTGTGATGGATATCCGGATCCCATCATGTGTTGACTTCATGTCCGTAGAGTCTACACACACAAACAGCGCAGCCAACCTGACTGCCTGACTTGCCCTGTTGGCCTTGAGGTTGGGAGGAGTGCATGAAGCTTCGTGAGATCGCATCTTTGCGGAAGTGCGGGACCCCGGCGAGGGTGTCAGGGCATGCTAACGGTTAGCGTACACCGCCCATAGCTCAGGTTTGTCTGTTTCAATATTGAGTTGTAGATCGCTCAGTGACAAAGACCTCTTTCTCAAGACACGGCACCAGCCAGACCCAATTGATGTGGCAGATGACCTCAGTTCCTTGGTGAAGGATACATGGTCAATCCTGTCCATCTGGATTTACTATTCAGATCTTTATATGTCAAGCTTTCATTTCTGCGGATGGCTTGTGATGTTTAATGTTTCTGGCACACCTCTTTAAAGGCAGAGGTCTTTCAAGGTGGAGGTGGCACCAGTGCTTCAATATGCTTTAGCCATACCTCTGAGGCTCATCCATCCCAATATTGTGAAACTAAAGGAGGCTGGGCCGATGAGTTCGAGACACCCATGACACCAAGGACCTTTGAAAAGCGATGTGTTTGCGCTTCGTTCTGTAGACAGCGTTTGCTGCAAAGTCGTTTGTAATATGCTTCATGTAGGCTATATAGCTTGCAACACAGAGTTTTTCAATGGATACTTATTTCGTTTTCGATTGGACCTGAAATGGACCGGGCAGGTAATTCGGGAAAACGATGAGTTGCACCTGGTCTTTGAGTTCATGGAGGTTGGTGTCACCTGGTTGACGGCGAAAGGCTGTTCTAGAAGAGGAAAGCTTCATCTTTAGATGATGTGCGAGACTTGCAGTGACAAGAGTTCGTCTACTTGACTTTAACCTTTTTTTGTCTATTTAACTGATATGTCATGGCCATTCATGGCCTAGCTTGCAGGCCATTCCCGTGAATTGTCATGGGCTCGTGGCCAGGCTAATCTCTATGAGTTCATGAAGTCCAGAGCGGGCAGCTTAGACTAGAGAAAAGCCCCAACAGCGGAATGAGTGGGACCCGACCTTGCTTTGGCTCAAAATTCCTGGACTGCACAGCTTTGTGATTGACAGCCTCATGCTGAAGAAAATTTGGGAGGTCGGTTCACACGTGGTCCAGCTGCATGAGCTGGACACTGGAAAATCTTTGATGTTTTCGTCAATAAATCAGTAAAAACGGGCATGAACAGACTTGCAGACACACATGTTGTCCCCGCATACACACTCTCCGATTGACCTGGCTGCATACCACATGTTCTGGTTTCTTCAGCCTTCCGAGTTGGTATGATTCGCCCAGGTTCGTGCGATCCCAGAGAGCAAAGTTCGAAACATCATGTTCCAGACTATGCAGGCGCAGATCTATTTCAATTATCAAACAATTGAGTGGCTGTCATGCTGTTTTGGAACTCTAAGTCTAGACATGAAACCACTTCTCCGTCCTCGAGGCGGTGAATCACGTGCACAAGCACGGCTACTTTCACCGCGACATGAAGCCTGAGAACCTTTTGGCCGGGACCAGTGAGAACAGGTCTTGGAGACAAGGGTGAACCTAGTCCCCTTTGAAAGCTACACAGCTACACAGCTATACTGCCACGATGTGGAAATTGAGAAGGGGATTCTATTGTCAAAATCTGTGTGCATTGGACTTGGAGAAGAGCTGTACATTTGTCAATCTGATGAGCTTCTTTCGAAAAGACGGGTCTTTGCAGCATCACTTCGTGCAGGTCAGTGGTGACACTGTGAAACTGGCTGACTTCGGCTTGGCGCGAGAAATCCGAGCGCCAGTGGTCCCAGAGCCGTTTTTGGGCCACGGCTCATCTACTCCGTTCCCAGTGCACCTGAATCAACCCTCAATGCGGTGTGAAAAATGTCTTTTCCAAGTTCGAAAGAGAGGATCGTTTTGAAAGTGGAGCACTTGAGAGGGTACTTGAGAAGACATGTCCTGGCCGTGGCTGCTCTTTTGTCATACACCTGGCAGCACCACTTTGTAGTGCATACTCAAGACGCATTATTTGACCTCCCAAATGAACACAGATTGCCAGTCAGATGCGGCCAATCGTGAAGACATCATCACGCTTTGTCATGGTTGTTGGAAAGGTCAGATGGCTTAACACCAGGTCCGTATTCTTCGGTCTGGGTGAAACAAACTCGTCACTTGGAGAGATGATGCCACACCGATGTCAATGGCCGCGCTTGAGATCCCTAAGGCGTCCGCCCTTCACCGACTACGTGTCGACCCGGTGGTATCGAGCTCCAGAGGTTTCCAAGTGGGAAAGGAGGACATTGGGAGTGTTCCAGGTCGGGGTGAAGTTGAACATGTGGAGGACACTAGGTGCATTTTGAGGCAATTTGAGGCATGCCGAACGCAGGTATGAACATGCTGTCACACGTTATTCTTGCTCAGATCTTTTGAAAACGCAGCCACAAGGGTATAGGCAAGGATCGAACGGATTCAGCCTAAGTTGGGTCCAAGCACAAGGACTGAGGATTAATCTGCATTGAGTCACTAAAAGCGATGGCCTCCGACCTAAAAACGATGGTATCGGTATTATGAAGACTTGGCCAGGTTCTTCTGAGGAGCTCGATTTACAACTCACCGCTAGACATTTGGGTGTTGAGCTGAGACAGAGTGAAGGTGCTGGAATGTCTGAAACACTGGGTAGCCGGTTGTATAATTATCATATAATTGATGGTTGCATGGACTAGATGACTTGATCACGTCTTTGTTGGGATTTGTCAACGCCTCCAGACTCCAGACGAAGACCAGTGTGAAGTGCTCTTGCAAGGCCTGTGGAGGCATCATGGCAGAGCTTTACACGCTCAGGCTTGCTGCTGGGTTTCGACAGATTTGAGGTATGTTCATGGGAAAAACAAATTCTCCCTTGTGCAGCGGAAAACAGGCCACCACATTGTCTTGCTGCTCAGTCTTGCTTCAGCTAATGGCTTGACTTCTTTGAGCAGGTGAAAGAGACAGGAACATTTTCGATTGAATCTGGTGGATTTGCCTCATCCAGTTCACCCAGTTGACATAGGGTGCGAACTTGTAGAGCATACTTCTGGCCAACAGCTAGCGTGCAGCCAGCAATGCAAGCTAATGTCTCATTGTTATTGAGAATCTCTTGAAGAGATTGGCTGTGGCGATTCCATTCGCAGTCACAGGCCGCTTTTTCCTGGCTCCTCTGAGAGCGATCAGCCACTTGGTAAAGAGAGGAGCTGGTGCCGACACTGAGGAGACTGAAAGTTTTCCAAGCCCAGATCAATTCCTGATATTCCTCCGCATGGAATCAAGAACCTCCCACTTAAGATTTGTTCATGAGGCTCTACAAGATCTGCTCTGTACTTGGCACGCCCACGACGGTCTGGTGGCCTGGGTGCGAGAGATGTGGCTATGAAGTTTTGCAGCTCTTGACTTGTGAGCCTCATATGACTTTTCCCTTGTTTCATCTCGGTGCGACTTCCCCGACTTGCTTCCCCCATTTTGCCCACTATTTTCGAAACAAAGCTTTACAGTAATTGTATGGAAGCCTAGCCACTTTTGAACCATCATGCATCATGCATCAATTGACCCTTTAGCCACAGGGCTCTCTGGCTCCACCATGTCAGTCAAACTACTTGTGTCGGGCCTCGCTCTCGGATCTGCGTAGATCGACCGAGGTCAGTTGGCCGGAGGGCTTCAAGCTCGCATCGCAGATCGGCTATCGCTTTCCGCAGCAGTTGGCTCAGCTTTCTCCACACTTTCAGCTGAGAGCAATTTCTTGTTTTTGGAGAGAGCCTACATCTCTTTTGCTAAAAAAGACTCATATTACATATATAGATTAATGATTGGTTTTTGGATACAAAGTTAACGCTGTCTAACTTGGACCTTTGTAGCTCTTGCTTGAACTCCTTATGGATATTGCTTCAGTTGCAGTCCACTTCAGACGGACACATTATGCAAGGCTGATAGGTGACTTGCTGGAGAGGTGAAGGTCAGTTGATTCTTCCGATCCTTTACGGTCTTGAAGCTCCATGAACAACAAGTTCACTAACCTCTATAAGAAACTGACTCTTGTAGTGCCATTCATCACGATGTATTTGTCCCAGTTGCATTTGTTTCACCCAGCCAGCTGCCCCTGGGTGGATCGAATGGTTGGGCAGCGTCAAGGTTTGTGCCGACGCGTCTGGAGACGCTGGTGCCTCAAGCCAATGCGGAAGGCATCCAGCTCATGCAGGCCAGGTGGGAAGGAACGAGGTAGGAAAAGTCTCAGAGTGTGTGAGGCAGGCAGAAACTCAGAATCTGTCACCGACGCCCGGCTTCTGCATCCCCATTCTCTACCAATGGAGATGTCATTGTTTGCACTTTGGTGTTAAACAATCCTCTTCGGGTCTCAGCTGAGCCCTGAGGGGGAGCATAGTTGCCTTCAATGTGGATGTTGTCAAATGGTTGAGGAGAATGCATCGGAGTACCCACAACTGGACAGCACGTAGATTGATGCAGAGACAATGCCACATCGGCATCTTAGGAATATTCCTTTACCTACACGACAGCCGCAGAATATGCTTGCCCATCGATGCTGGTTCCTTCAAGGCCATGATGCACTGGGATCCCAATCGAAGAGGTTCCGCGGCCAAGATTCTTCATCACCCCTACTTTGAGGCCTGGCCAATCTCACCCGCGCTTTGATACTGAAGCAAAATCCTTATTGAGCAAATTGTCAGGTGATCATGATTGACCATAGGATCGCGCATGTTGTCTTGATTCATGGGTTCGGGGCTGGGCTGTTGTTCAGGCAGACGCCTTGATGGAAACTGCCACTGGCTCAATGGCAAGGATTGATATATATATATATTTTTTTTTTAAAAGTCTGGTGAGCTTCAAGATAGGATTGATCATTGAAGGCGTTGATGCTTTGAGCATGCTGTCAAATTTGCTGCATGTAGAATGCAAAGTATAGATATAAAGTTTACTCCTTCTATGCCGATACTTTTTTTTCCCAAACAGGGTTTACTAGTGAGGTTTCTTACTCCTTTGAAGATGCTTTATGGTGTGCCCTTCTCCAAGGCACAGTTTGGTGGTTCGGTGCCTGGCACCTCAGAGGCACCCAACGTGGACCCTGTTGGTTGCACTGGGGCGAGAACATTTGGTGCCGGTGCAGGAGGCTGTTACGAAAGAAGCGGCTTAGCTCCCAGATTTTCCAATAGCTCCATGATGCAATGATTGACACGCAGCCTGAAACTGCCCTGCCAGCCTTGCTAGGCGAATACCGAGGAGTTTTCTAATTGAATAGCACTTATTGTTGTTGCTCAAAAAGAGGTCTCGGGGACTCTGCACAAACCGGTGGAAACTTCCGCACTGCATTTGCGTAGCCGGGTAGGCTCAAACGAGACATTAACATGTAGTAAGTAGTAAAAATAGGCACGTCAGCTGATTTGAAACTGACAGAACATCGACCAGGTCAAACTCTGCCGCGAGGCACCTACCCCTCCTTTACTATGCCGTTCAGGTGAACAGTATGGTGTCGTTCTACCATGATCGAAAACACGGTGTCGTTCAAGCTGATTGAGATTTGGCGCCATGGACTTCCGTTTGGGCAGCCGACCTGACTTGTATCCCTCGCATCCCATGACGCCACAAAACCTCAGGAGTGACCTACATGTTATAGATGTCAGGCCGGAGGGATGATGAACACATATCAGCTTTGCAATGAACTTCATTCGCCCACATGTATCCATGGGTTGAGCTAATTTTGCTTGATATTGGAAATGATGAGTTGGATTCAATGGGGTCAAGAGATCCTTCGCAATCTTCTCTCAGCGGATGTTCGTTGAGGGAACCGGGATCGTCCATGGGAGGCACTTATGGAGGCTTCGGTCCGATGGCAACTGCCCGCTGCCAACCCGGTTAAGTGCCACCTGTGCGAGTGTTGCAGCTTCGCCTAAGTCCAGTGAGTTCGTGTCGGTGAGCACCATGAGGGACAACGTCAGGAAGCATACGAGGCATCCGGTAGCTCATTGGCTGTTTGATTGAATCATTTCTGCTTTTGTTGGTTTGTTGGCCTCTCGGCTTCACTTGGCTCAAGACATCCCTTCAGGTCGACGTTTAGCCCCATCGACAAGTACAACTTTGGTGCTGCCACCTCTCATGAGATCGGCTGGCACGTCGAGGCTCCTAGGGCCGCTACCGCGTTTAGCGCTGTGCGTCGGCCACTCCGTTTTGGGCTCAAGGAGTCTGAGACGACTCGCTATGTGCATAGCATGAAACTTTCGGGATCAGAGGCGTCGTTGCGCCTGATCCTTCCATAGAACTTAGGAAGACGAACTGGAGGCCTCCAGGCAAACTTGCATTGAGGTAGAGACACTTGGCGAGAGAAAGAATATCATCCACTTGCACATTTGGCAGGTGTCTTGGAGGATGTCTCTAATTCGGCACCTGGCTGTGGCTTGACAGATCCTGACATAGTTGTCTTTGGCCATTGTCCTGATTCGAAGAGCTCCACTCCGCAATGCTGGGTGTGACAGTTGTTTCGCTACAGCCACCCGTCTGAGACCAAAGCGTCCAAGATGACACCTGATGGCTGAAGGCCATTGAGGCAAAAAAGGCAAGTTCCGCAAGCAGGAGCAGAGTCTGTGGGTAGAACCAAACGGGTAAAAGTGGGATAGTGTTAGGAGCCTAGGTTCGATATCTTCAGAAGTTCGGCCCTAAGTGAAAGGGTTGATCAGCACATTGCTATTAGGTTGGAGGCCATCACTATTAGAAACAAAGAAAAGAGAAAAGGAAGGACGGTCAAATATTGTGCTTGGATGTCAGGCGCCGACTCCAGCTGTGGCGGCTGGAGTGGCTCCGTCCGGAGGGTTGCCTTCTGGGGTTCCGTCTGGAGGGTTGCCCTCTGGGATGGCTCCCTCGTCGGCAGGGTGGCCCAGCGATGACTGGATCAGCTTGAGTCAATGATATACTTGAAATCAAGCAAACATGTTTGTGACTAGTTGCAAGAAGCTTCATAATTCTGGCATAATTTCATTACATCCGAACAGAATCTGCTACGCACTTGGGAAGTAGAGATCCTTTGCTTTTCGCTCGTGAAGAAGTGAAGAATGTGAAGCTAGCAAGCAAGCCCAAGCCCAAGCACAGGTCAGCAAGCCCAAGCCCGGCATACCGTGGCCCTGGCGATGATTTGGACCTCTGACGGAACGGTCGCCCTTCACGAGATTCCCATGTGTAGAATCCAACCTCTTCTGTCTACATGCTTTCAGCAGCCGTGGTTCGGCAATGACACATTCTTGAGCCAGCATTGTTTGTGCGAGTGATATCCTTATTCATTTTGCACTTGCGCCTTCTGGCAACATTGCAGTGCTGCTTGAGCACGTGTAAGTACATGTTTTGTTATGGCCCGGCTCAATCATTTGGCTCGAACAGCCTACTGGATGTTCCTGAAGTCGCGCCACATTGAATGACCTCAAAGGACCAAGCCAATTTTTGTTTCGCAAGAGAAGACTTCCGGCCGGTTGAGCGAAGAGGTCGTCCTTTTTTGTCCATGTTTGCGCCAGGTCAATCCCCACCGGGAGCAACAGCCTCACGGGAGGGGATGCCCTCTTCAATACCAAAGGAAGTCAGGGACCCCAGAGGGACCTCAGGGACCTGATCACTGACCTGATGGATCTGATCGCCGTGCATCGACCTGAGAGAGTTACGTAACCTGATGGAAAACGCACAGAGTCGACGTGGGGATGTCGAAAGTCAGTGCCTGTAGCATACTGTGCCTAAGGAGCGACAGAAACGCTTTGCAAGGCATTTTGATCCGAACGGCCGAAGCGTTCCGGTCCGCTTCGAACCTCGCGCAGAGCGTTCCTGTCGAGGCTGGAAAGGCGACGGCCACGGTCTTCCGAATTCGGGTCGGAGGCACGGTCTGAGCGGCGATGGCGAGTGGTGCGTCTCGCTGTGCTTGAAATGTAGTTCTTTACTGTACCAAGCTTTCGAATTTCCGGTGTCGCTTGGAGGCCATCCTTTGGCAAGGAGAATGCTGGTGGCTCCAAAGGTGAGAGTCAGAGTCAGAGCAGAAGAAAGAGTTTGCAAGACCTCAACAGCTTTACCTGTTTAGTTTTATAATGTTTTATACATCATTCATTGTCACCTTGGCTACATTTCCAAGATGCTTCGCCAGATGGGCCCCATTAGCCCTTCAAAAGTGGACGCATTACGAGTTCAGTTGGACATGTGCTTTTGCTTTCAAAGGAAGGCTGTGGTGCACCCGCAACAGGATCGGCCACATTGCACAAACGTGCCCTGCAGGTTTCAACCTTCCGCCAGTGGGGTCAATGGCTGCCGGCGGGCTGGATGGTTGGGCCCTAAGCCAGCTGCAAGAATTGGGCTGAGCTCATCAAGTCGGCCAAGAACACAACCTTTCGGGTGATCAATCTGCAGAAGCTAGGTCAGCCGGACCATGAAAGTACAAATAAGCCAATATTTGTTGTGACAAATCTTTACTGGAAAGCAAGGAACAAAAAGCATTCCAGAATTCTACCAGCTCCACTACTACATAGTAGCAGTTCGGACCCCCATGTCTTCATCTGTTGACCCCAATCTTTGGATGGACATAAACACGGGGTGTTCACCAAATTTGCTGCATTGAATGTTTGTTAGTTCGCTTGTCTGCGAGGCCGCAAAAGCTCTGGCACCGGTAAAAAGAGTTCGGGACCAAGCCAGTTCCAGTCGATACTGACAAACCGAGTTTGCAGGTGAACAGATGGCTATATATACTCCATTTGCGACAATGGACTCAGATTGTTCGGAATGGATACAGGTGGGCCGGGTTCATTGGTATGAATTTGCTGTGACCAGTAGCCCAAAAAAGGTTCTGCCGAGCTTCGCTGTATGCAGGAAGTCAATCACAAGAATGGTTCCCCCAAACAAATCCGCAGTGAGTTTGTCGGAACCATCTATACAGTAAGACTTTGGGGTGCAGGACCAAGTGCTTGAAATTTCCATAAATCCACAACTGACGCCTTGGGATGGGAGTGCCGAGTTTCAGAGGTCAGCAGGGGCTAATAGTAGATTAGGCATTGGCAGGTCTCTAAAGCCTTTTTCAACGCTACAGGAGCAAGGACGCTACTAGTAGCTCCTGGCCATACTACTAGGAACAAGAAGCTAGTAGGAGCAAAGGGTATCGCGAGAGCAGCCGTCACTAAGTCTTAGGTGCGATCGAGAATGGGTGCTGCATAAACCTGGCATTGCGCTCTCAGGTCCTGGTGCGCGCTATTTGAAGATGGCCCGCTACCAGCCAGGCCCGGAATGGTGGGCGGTGCAGCCTATATTGATACCTAGTGTTCTCCTTCCGGAGGGCTTGATTGTCAGAGAGAGAGAGAGAGAGAGTTTGCTAGAACCACCTGGTTGGCGATTCCACATAAGGGGTTTTGCAGCATATGACAGACGATCAAGCTTGTCTTGAGAGGTTCCCTGAGAGACTCTGCCGTCCGGCTCCACCTTTGGCTCAAGTTCCGTAGAGATTCGTATGCGGCACAGAACTGATAGTGTTGGTGCCTCAAAGCGATTTGAGGCCATCGCTCTTAGGTTGGAGGCCATTGCTACATATTGCTACTAGGTTGGTGCCTCAAAGCGAATTGGCGGCTGATTGGCCTTTGCAATCTCATTTCAGCTTCAAAGGCAAGAATGAGGGTCCCCAAAGACGTGAAAGGTCGGGGGGGGGCGGGCTTAAACATAAAACAAAGTAAGACAAAGCGTCCTTGCCCCTAGTAGCGATGCCCTTTGTTACTAGTAGCGTCCTAGCTCCTAGTAGCGTCGGTCCCCAAAGACGTGAAAGGTTCTTTACTGGCTTTTCTGGCAGCCTGAGGCCGATCATGAAGATCCCCATTGCAACTTGGCTGACTTGGCTCGCTACCAGAAGCCAGGAGTACAAGAACAATGTGCAAAACACTGCTGAGGACCTCCTTTACACTTTTTGAGTAAGGACATCACAATCTGATCGCTGGATCTCCAGTACTTTCAATATAAAGAGGCCCACCCACTGAACTGTCTTTCTTCTGGATCGAGCAGCTTCGCTGCCTTGCTCAGGTGTTGATTTGCGTGCCTTTCCTGCAAAGGGCTGGGTTGAGAACTCTCTCGTTTATGGTGACATGTGATCATATTTCCACTTGTGATCTAATCTTCACACTCCAAGTCACCCGAGTGGAAGGAGATGATCAGTGTGACGAGCGAACCCAGACAAATCGGCGTAATGTGATCTAACGGAGCTTGATTGGAGCAGCTAAGCGTTGGGCACCGTAGTCACGTGGCAGACACGGTTGTCAAACGAGGCGGCGTTTCTTCGCGGTACTCATGGCCAGCCGGGCATGAGATTCATCGAGCCGAAGGATCGAGAGTTGGCCAGGAAAGCTCGCATGAAGGCGAGAGGGCACAGTGGGAGAGACCTAGACACATTTGGAGCGCATGCCGGATATGTAAAGTGACTCTTTTTCCCGAATGCGTAGCGAAGGGTTCCCGTTTATAGTTGGGGGTCTGGGGGTTGGAGCTGTGTTTGCATGGCTTGCGTCGTGTCGTCGCCTGTCGTCGTCTCTCGTCGTCTCTCGTCGTCTGTCGTCGTCTCTCGTCGTTTGTCGTCGTCGTCGCGTCTCAAATTTGCTGCCATTGGGGGAAGCTTTTGCAAGTGACTGTGCATGGATGCGTCATATGTGAGTTTGCGCCGCTATTCCATTGTGATTTGCGTGACAATGACATGTCGCGCAAGAAAAGTGATGCATTTCGCTGCACAGGCGCAGCGTTTTATGAGATCCGCAGACTGCTGCGCAGTTCCATTGGGACTAGCGTGTGGAGAGTCGTGCTTTTGGGGTGTTGGATGTGGCCGTGCCATTGGGATTTGCGTTTCAGGGTGTGGCATCGAAGCTCGGTTTTCGTGACAAGTCTCAGCTGAAATGGCGATTTTGGTGGATGGGAGTGTGCTCAGAACGGGTCGAAATCATTCCAAACGTGTGGTGTGGTGCAAATTTTGTTGAAGCTCACATGAGATGATATTGTCACTTTTCGTGGCAGGCGCAGGACTTTGTGCGGGTTTTGAGGCGTGGAAGTGCGATTCTCGTGGCAGGCACAGGGAATCGTGAGGTTGCGAGGTGTGACGGAGGTGACATTTCGTGGCAGGCGCAGTACTCTGTGCGCGTTACACGTGTGGACGCGGAAAGATTCGTGGCAGGTGCAGGGAATCGTGAGGTTGTGAGTCGTGGTAGAGGTGAATGTCGCTGTCACATTGGGATTGGCGTGTGAGCGGATGTTGTTTGGAGGGGCTGGAATCGCGAAA